TGAGGGGCAATGGCACCTTACCAGTGGCTTGATGTGGCTTTTCCCAGAGTTCCATTTTCCACGACTAACGCCCCCTCTTGCCCACCCCCCACCAGCTCTCTGGGTTCCCATCAGGTCCCCCTGGCGTCCACAGTCACCATCGCCTGGGGCTCCCTCACGCACAGGTCCTTGAGTATCTGAGCCCTGCCTGAGCCCTGGGCCACTCCCCACTGGCCGGGGTCAGTGCCCACTCACTGCCAGCAGATTCCCGCATGCTCAGCGGCTGCCTTTTTGACACTTGGCCCTCCGTTCGAGGTAGTAGTCTCCATTGCCGCTACTGGTCAGCGCTTCTGCTGCTGACCCAGCCCCCCTCCGTGACCCTCACCCCCTCCTCTCTTTGTCCTCATCTGAGCCCTGGGTCCCTGCTACTCACAGCTGCACTAGACTCCAGGTCAGGGTCTGAGAAGGACCCTGAACCCGTAATACATGGACCTGAGAAGGCTGCCTCCACCCTGGCCTTTCAGGGCTGATGCGCTGGGGCTATGCTATGGAAGCCATGAAGGCTGCTGGGAGCCACCCTGTCCTTCTCCCTCCACCCCAAAGTAGGCAATGGGCATAGGGTCACATTGGCTAAAGAGAGGGGCAAGCACACATTTTGCCAAGGGCATGTCCGGGGCTGTGGTTACCTCCCCGGGCTGGTCAGGGAGGGCCTCCTGTAGGCAGCAAGGCTGAGTCTGAGGATTAGACTACAGGGGACAAAGGAAGAAGAGGCAGGATATCTGGCCCTGCTTCCTCCAGAGTGTGGACAACCCAGACAGGGATGGGGATGCTGGGCCCTTGGGGAGACCTACCTCACAAGGTGACTGGTGGTCAGTTGTCCTCTGAGGCACATAGAGTGTGACCAGTGGGCCGCAGCCCCATGGCCAGTGGGTTGATGGACGGACAGACAGGAGACCTTGGAGCTGCTCCTGGGCCCACTGAAGTCCAGCTCTGATCCCTTATCGATTAACCTGTCCCCATGGCCAAGGTGACATGATGGCAAAGTTCCTGTTTGGATTGTCATGTTTGAAACAGCTTCTACGTCTTCCGGTAAACAGTGGGTGCCTGTCATAGCACAAGGGCATCAGCCCAGAGTTCTGTGAGGGTGCCCTGCTGCTCCAAAGCCCCCCCGGAGCCCAGCTCCTCATCCACATGGCACCTGCTGGAACCTCAGACTTTGCCCCTCAGGCCTGGTTGGGTCAGGCTCACTCACAGAGGGAGGGAGGGCCATCTAGATGCTTAGAGTTAACTGGTTGTGGTGGCGGTTAGGGGCCACGAAGCCATAGCAACCCCATGCACAAACCACCCCAACGTGGCTGGGTGGGCCTGCGCTTTTTCCAAGCATGGCTCCTGTGCCTTCTCCCGGGACTGGCCTCTCCTGAGGACATGTACAAAGTACGTGAGAAGAAGGCCCACTATCCCCCCCTCCAAGGGGCCCCCTGGCCGTACTTCTGCTAAGACAGATCCGTCCATCCTTTCAACTGTCTGTGGTGCTGTCAGTCCCCTTCGGCTGGTGGTAGGCGGTCCTCACATCAGCGAAATGCCTTCGCAGCAGTGTCTATACCTGTGCTCGGCCAAACAGCTGAGCATCATCACCAGGCCACGTGCGTAAAGCCAGCCCTCACCCGAGGGACCCGGTGCTCCACATGCCCGCTGCCTCCTGTTGCCTCCAAGGAGCACCTGGCTGTACTTCTTCCGAGGCACATGGGCTTGTCCCTCTTTGGCCTGTCAGGTAGAACGGTATTAAAATGGTCCCTGTGGGGGCCAATAGCAGGCCGTTCCTGACTTACGCGGCTATGAGGCCAAGTGCGCTCAGCTCGGAGATGAGGCCCCGGTTGGGGCAGAGTGGGTTCTGATGCTGTGGGGAGGTCTTTTTCAAGAAACTTAAACTTTGTATGTGCTACTGAGTCAGTTCTTAGAATGAAACGCTGCCCAGGCCGGCACTGTCCTCAGCATCCTGGAAACCACTGGGTCAGCCCATCTGGTGGAGCGTCTTCCTCTGGGTCAGTGATGCCCTTCTCTTGGGACCGGTCCCTCCTGACCACACGAGTGAATATTTACGTAGAACGAGAAAGGAAGTTGCAACCAATCACAAATTTCCCAAAGCTGGGAATGCCACAAAATCCTGAGCTCTTTTGGTCCGTGTGGGTGGCGGGTTGTTCCGCATGTGCTTGGCCATGCTCCTCATGTTCTCGTCCCGTGTCCGTGAGGGACCTGTAGGCATCTTTGGGCTGGCGTCCCCTCTGTTACTGTATACACAAGGGACCTCGGCAGTGCTGTGGATTAAACCTGGGTTACTCACTGCAAGGTCAGAGGATCAAACCCACCAGCCATACTTTGGGGAACAAGATGAGGCTGTGTTCCTGTACAGACTGTTCTACTCTGCCCTGCCGCATCGACTGGACGGCAGGGAGCTTGTTGGGTGTCCTTCTGCCCCACCTGCTCACCAAGCCGCAGCATGGAATGTTCTAGAAAGCCGCCACCCCACCCTTACCTGAACCAGCTAGCTGTAGTGTAACCATGGTGACAGGTGACTGCGTCATGTAAATATGCCCCACAAAACCCAATCCAGTTGGACTCTCAGTCCATCTGCCCTGCAAGTGGGTCCCCACACTGGACTCTCTGTGCTGCTTCTGAGGGACAGTTTGCTGGAGGACACTGCTGTGAGAAGTGACCAGTGAATGCAGGACTGGGTGAGGTCCCTCTCTCGCTTCCCAAGAGTAGGACCCAGGTAGCCCTCTTGCAGATGACCAAGGACGCTGCCACAACTGTCCACACAAGGCTGGGAGTGGACCAGCGGGCCAGCCACTGGGAAATCTCACAGACTGGCACTTTGAACGCTGGCACGCTGGCACCTCTCACGGGTCTGGAGACCCAACAGCCCAAACTCACGCCACTGGGTTGAGATCAGGGTCTCTAGCTATCCTGAGTCCCCAGGGGAGGATCTGCTGACTCCAGGCGCTCCGACTCCTCCATCTCTGTCTTCCTGCTTCCTCTCTCTCCATCCCAATGCCACTCGGCCCCCACTGGCCGTGTTCGGGCACCGAGTCACTGTGGGCCACTCCCCACCCCAGACCCTTATTGCCATCATCGCTTTAAGACTTGGGCATTTGAGGTCATGTTTCAGCTTCCAAACGTGGGCTTCTTTGTGGGGAGTTCTTGGCTGACACTTGGGGTGGAGAAATATGGTTGCTAGGTATCCTGGATGGCCCCTCAATCTCTCAGAGGCTCAGGGTATGAAGGTGAGTCCCCAGCACGCAGGGACAGGGAGTTTGGAGATGGGCCCAACCTGGGTCACCCTTGGCATCTGGGGGACACCATCCAGGCACAGCACCCCATTTACCGTTCCTTGGAGGAATGGGTCTAACTGAGCAGATGGAATATCAGACAACTCTTTGTTGTCCCTCCTCCATCAGTGTTCCTGGGGCTCTGCATGGGCTCCCTCTAATGGAGGGACAGTGTCACTAACACCCATAAGGTTCTGGAGTGGAGACGTGAAGTGGTGTTTTCATGGAAGAATAAGCATGGAAGGTAACTGTGGGTGAGGCACACAGCCCAATCCAAGTCTATCCAACCAATCAGCCAACCCAACCCCACCCAACCTAATCCCACCAACCCCAACCAACCCAACCACCTCCACCCAACCCAATCCCACAATCCTATCTAACCCACCAACCAATCCCACCTAACCCACCAAACCCACCCAACCAACCCAAGCCCACCTAATCCTACCTAACCTACCCAACCCAACCCCATCCAACCCAAGCTCATCCAGCCCACTCAATCTCACCCAACCCAACCAACCCATCCAACCAACCCAACCCAACCCCATCCAACCAACCCAACCAACTCCACCCAACCCCATCCAACCCCAAAAAGCAACCCATATCTGTTGTTAGGTTGCTAGACACCATCAAGTTGATCCCAACTTAAAGCGCCCATAAGTACAATAAAACGAAATGTCCGGTCCTGCACCATCCTCACAATAGTGTTTATGTTTACCACTTGTCTTGTCTGCAGTGGACCTAACCTTAACTTTAGCTCTAAGCCAAGTCTTGACCTTGGCCTTGGCCTTAATTTTAACCTGACTCTTATACTAACCCTAAACCTAGTCTAATCCTACCTGTAGTCCGGGGCTCTTGTTTTTTGTTCTAAGGGCCATAGGATATTTATATCATTTGCAGGCCATACTGGTCAAACATTTAATTAATTCACTCCTAATGGCTGAAATTGCTTCTCTTTGGTGAGGCATCTGTTGTTAGCTGGTATTGATGTTTCCCGGGCCTTTCTACGCCTGTAGAGTTCCAGTCTCGGAAACCACAGGGGCAGTTCTACCCTGTCCTACAGAGTTACTATGAGCCGGAATTAACTCGATGGCAGTGAGTTTTGTTTTGTTACTATACGGCCTGCAGGCCGGAGGCACTGGGCTCATGATCAGAAGCCACTGGGTGACCATGCAGGGAGCCGGGGTGGAGGTGTAAGAACTGGACCCCAGCAGGGGCTTGCAGGGCTGGACGGGGTGGGGGTGGGGGGGCATGCGGGTCAGGAGGGTGGAGCAGAAGGGGACATGGGCTGGCCTGGGAAGACTGGGCCGGGCTCTATCCTGAGGGCAGTGGTGCCAGGCTCATGTGCACCCAGGAAGGGCAGCCCTCATTGAAGTGGTGCCCTGGGACTAGGCTCTCATGGTCTGGGGAGAAGGGTTAGGGCAGGGAAAGCAAGCTTTGTGGGAGTAGAGGTGTGTGGATGGGCTGCAGGGGTGTGGGTGGGAGAAGAGCCTGTCTGGGGAGTGGCCTCCTGTAAGTATGCGGTCAGTAGAGGCATGCTGGGAGGAGGCCCTGTGGTTGGCCGGGAGGGAGGCCAGGGGACAATGCCCCTTCTTCAAGTATCCCAGTGGTAGCTGTACCCCAGACCTTCACTCTCCTTAAGATGGTGGGGGGTCTGGCCTGTGGGCACTAATCCCCCTTTCTTGGACTTGCCTGCAGTGCTGGTGCCTGGGCCGGGTCTGGCCTCCACACTGGAGAAACTGCCCATGTTCCATGATGAGGACTTTGCCCAGGTCCTTGGGCTCCCCAAGGACACGCTGGTGCTGCCGTGAGTGGCAGGGTCCCCCCCCCCCCAAACGGGTGCTGCCGTGAGTGACAGGGGGAGGCTTTCAGTCTGGCACTGCAAGGGAGGAGGGAGCAGTTGCCATCAAAGGGCACCTCACGGGGCATTAGCCTGGGGTCTCCCACCAGCCTGGGGTCTCTTAGCTGAGAGCCTGAGAGGACCCATTGGGACCCACTGGTCCTGGATCTACTGAATCCAGACGCCACCAGAGCCAGGCCGCCCTAAGGCCCTGCTCCTTTCCCTGGGGAGACTTTCCTGCGGGGGAGTCCTGACTGCCTCTGGTGGGGGCCTGGGTGTACAACTCCCACTCAGAGCTGCTCTGTGGGAGGTCACAGGGCCCTAGGGCAGCCACCCTCTCTCCAGGACCCCAGGGCCTGTCCGTGGGGGGTATAGGGCCTGCTGAGATTGGGGATCCTAGCTGGGCCACGAGAGCTGACCCTCGCTGTGCCCCCAGCCCCACCAGTTCCGACCAGAGGATCATCTACACTGTGATGGAGTGGCCGGTCCTTTTCGACTCCAGCAACATGACCATCTCAGAGTGGGTCAACATCGCGCTCACCATCAAGGTGGGCTCTGCAGTGGGGGTGGAGTGGGGATGCTCAGGACTGGGGACTGGAGGGCCCTGGCAGGGTGAGGTGGGGCGTGACCGGAAAGAGGGTGTCAGAGTGGGAGGGGCTGGGGACAAGATGTCTCGGTGGGCGTGGCTGGAGATAGGGCATGGCTGTGGTTGGGGAGTGTCAGAGTGGGAGGAGCAGGGGCAGTATAGGTGGACTAGGGGCGGGACTGGAAGAAACTGGTTGGGTGGGCGTGGCTGTAATGATGGGCGTGGCTAGTGTGCTGGGGCGTGTCGGGCTTGTGGGTGTGGTAGATGGGCTGGGGGGCTGAGGACTAAAGGCTGGGGGTGGTACATGAGTTACCCCTGGCTGGGGTGGGCGGTGAGGTGGAGCTGAACTAGGGGCAGCGAAAGCGGGGTGTGGCTTTTGAGGGTGCAGCCGGACGACCCTTTACCGACAGCATCCTTGACGGGCAGGTAGGGGGAGTGAGGTGCGGTCGTTGGCCTGACCCTGGGCGCTCTTGGCCCCCTCCTCCGCTGCAGACTTGGGGTGAGGCCTCTCGCCTCCTGGACACACATCTCCCCCGTACCACGCAGTCACCAGGTGTTCCTCCTAGTCACCCCTCCCAAGGCCAAAGTCCCAAGACACCCCTGGCCTCCCAGTGGTCCAGGGGACGGCAGCAGCAATGTGGGAGTCTTCAAAGGGCCGATCCGCCCTGGACACGTGTGGCCCAGCCGTGGGCCGGGCTGGCGGCTTTGCTGAGAGCAGCCTGGTCACCGGACCCCGAGTCCTGCTCCGCACTGACTTCTCGCTGCGGCCACTCAGTCGGTTCCGCGCGCGGCCAGCAGAGGGCGCCCCGCCCATTCCTTTGCGCAGCCGGCTAGACTTGGGCACCCCCAGCCCTCTGCCCAGCCTGCTGGCCCCATCTGGGCCGCTGGTTGCCGCGTGGGCACACTCGCCCTAGTTAACCCTTCCCTCCACTCCCCTGGAGAGCAGGCCAGGACCCGGAAGACACTCTGCATCGTTGCCTGTCTGTGTCCTGCCTGCACCTCATGTCCTGTGTTCACCTCTGTCCCTCCCACTGGACAGAGGCTGTGGGAGCAGGCGGGATGGGGTCCCTCTAGCACAGGCCTCTGCCGGGTCACTGCCCACGGGACCCTGTGTGTAGTGCTGGTGGGCTGGGGGCTGGGATGGGGACCCCTCCCGGAGTCTGTGTTCTTCTGCAGAGCCACTATGAGAAGTACGACGGCTTCGTGGTCGTCCACGGCACAGATACCATGGCCTTTGCGGCCTCCATGCTGTCCTTCATCCTGGATAACCTGAGGAAGCCCGTCATCCTCACGGGGGCCCAGGTAGCTAGCCAATTGGCGGAGCTTCACAGGGACATCAGAGGGAAGCGGTGTCTTTGTGGACACAGGGTGGCTGGCTGTGGGCCTTCTCTGAGTGGGCTGGCCCTCACTGCACTCTCAGATGGAGGGGTCCCTGGGGGGCTGCGGGACCTCTGTGAGCTCCAGTCCCTCCCCCTGACTTCTCTCCAGGTGCCCATCCACGCCCTTTGGAACGATGGCCGTGAGAACCTGCTGGGGGCGCTGCTGCTAGCCGGCCTGTACCTCATCCCCGAGGTGCCTCTGGGGCCAGTGGGGCTGTGGGGCAGGGCTGGGTGGGTGGGGAGAGAGGCAAAAAGCACCAGACACTCTACTCTTGTCCCTCTACCTGTTCAGCCTTAACCCTGTGACAGGTTTCTGTCCCGACTTTATGTTCACATCTCTGAAAGATGGGAGTCCACTTAGGTGGTCGGAAGAAAGACCTGACAATCTACTTCCGAAATCTAGCCGCTGAGCGATGCCCGGACATGCCGGTGGCCAGTGGCGGCAGCACGTGGCCTCTTGTATTACATATGCACCTGTGCTTCCCCTGTCTGAGCGGAGACTGTCCAGAGCATAGCCCAGAATCCTTCGCATTCTCTTTCCCCACCCTGTCCCTGTCCCCTCCTGTGGCTGGTGGGCAGGTCCCTCCTGGGGAGACCAGTCAGCAGCTTCTGGTCACGGGGCTTCACTTGGCTGCAGCATTTCAGGGCCTGTTTTGTTCCCATAGAGGCAGATGGGGGGTGAACCCCTGCAGGGTCCTAGGTGTGGAGACCCCAGCTGCAGGGAGGGAGCCTGGGCAATGTGTGTATGTGTGTGTGTGTGTGTGGGGGGTGTGTCTGAGCCACCCCTCCCCCCGCAGGTCTGTCTCTTCTTCCAGAACCATCTCCTCCGGGGTAACAGGGCTACCAAGGTGGACTCCAGGCGGTTTGAGGCCTTCTGTTCCCCCAACCTGCCCCCCTTGGCTACCTTGGGTGCAGACATCACAAGTAAGTCAGCCAGCGGGGGTGGGGACACCTCCAAGGGGTGGGAGATGCTGCCAGGTGGGGTGGAGTAGGCCCGCTCTCGGGTTGGGGAAGAGGAACAGTGGTATCACCACCTTGGACCTCTGCTTCTGCTTTGTCCACTGGGCTCTGCCTGGGACCCCAGGGTCCCACTGGCCCAGAAGCCTGGGCAGCAGGAACAGTGGGCATCTGCTGGCCTGTGGACCCCAAGCCTGGCCGCCAACCTTCTTCTTGTCTCTGGCCTCTAGGGCACCCTCTTTCCTCTGGGCCTGGTGGTCAAACTAGCTCCCCAAGGGGCCCAGTGACTTCTCAGAGCACCCCCCACTGCCCCCGGGAGGCCCGCCGCCCCCGCCTGCGCTGGTGTGGGGTCCCTGAACCTTGTTTCCAGCCCCCTCTGAGGCACAGGGTTGCCCTGGGTGCCGGCCAGTGGGCTGGCTGCCTTGTCCTGTGTGGTGATGCCCAGCCCCGCCTGTTCCAGGCTAGGGAGGAAAGCATGGGTGGGCAAACAGGGAGTCAGGTGTGCAGACTGGGTCACCCCTTATCTGGACACATAGAGGAGCTCCCCAGGGACCCAGCACTAGCTGAGCTGGAGTCATGCCTGAATCCTAGGGCCCCTGCCAGACCATGCCAGGCCCAGACAGGCCAAGGACCCAGGGCTGTTGGGGCAGGCTGAGGGCCCCAGAGCAGGGGCCGATGCCCAGGGCAGGCTGCCCCCCATGCCCTACCACACTCTCAGCCTTGTCTCCCATGCTGAGTGCCATGCCCGCCAGCCAGGGTGCTTGTGTGAGAACCTGCTGCTGGATCCAGCACCCTTACCGGTGAGGGGGCCTGAGAGCCAGGGCTCGGCCTCGGGGGAGGGGTGGTCTCAGGGCTGTGGCAGGGCCTGGGTTGACCTGTCTGACTGGGTTGAGGGGATGAAGGTGCTCCCCTGCAGTGGCTGCCACATTTGTAAGGGAGAAGAGCTCACCGTGCTCAGCGCTGGCCAGGTGGGGTGTCGTGACAGGTGCTGTGGCCCTGCCCTTCTTTATGTCCTGTCCATGCCGCCCTGAGAGAGCACTGGGCCTTGTGGGGAGACCCCACCCTTTGCCCTGCTGGGGCTGAGGGTGCTGCCCACTTACCCACCCCAGCTATTCAAGCCCCCAGTGAGCACATGCTGCCCTAGGCACTGTCCCTCCCCCAGAAACTCAGGGCCCCCAGGCCACCTTAGTGCCTGGTAGCAATCCCCCTTTCCCCTGGGACCATGCTGCCCTGGGTGTGGGGGCACTGCATGGGTGGGGGGAAGGACTTGGGGTCCCCTGGCTCAAGCCTGGGGGACCAACGGGTGAGACAACGTCCTCTTTGCCTTCCCGTGGAAGCCGGTTCTGTGAGTGTCCCCTCTGGACCATACTCTGAGGCCTACAGAGGTGGTAACAACCACTTATCTGTTTCCCCAGCTGGGACTCAAGCTCCTAAATTACAGGGCACCCTGGCGTTGTCAGGCTCAGCTGATGAGGGCGGGGGTGAGGGGTGGGGTGGAGGCCAGCTCTGCCTTCCCCGCCCCCACATCTCCCAGCCCCTCCAGGCCTGGGAAGCAGACGTGTCCCCAGTGGCCCCAAGTATCACCACACGGACTCTGGCTCCTGTGTCCTCGGGGGCTGGGAGAGGAGGTGCCTCACCCAGGTGACTGGGTGGCTGGGCCCACCCCATCCTGTACCCATGGTTGGGGGACAGTCCGTAGCAGTGGTACACTGTGGGCAGATAACCCTCTAGGGTGCAGCCTGGGTGGATCAGGAGCTCTTCTGTGGGGCTGTTTGAGGGGTGCTGACCCCCACCCCTTGACCCCTGCCCCTCTGTGCTTTCCCAGGCTCTGATGTCCCAGGGTGGGGAGGCAGTGGGGAAAGGGCTAGGCCTCTGTGACTTGGGGGTGAATTAGAGGGGGGCTTTCCTTTCCCACAGTGAAGGGTCAGGACTCACATATCCACTCACCCACCCACCCACCCACTCTCATAGCATTCATTCTCTCACTCACTCTCCCATTCATCCACTTACACATTCTTACTCACTCATCCAATCTTCCACTCACATATCCATCCACTTATGCACTCACCCACTCACTCTCCCCTCACTCATCCACCCATCCATCCATTCATGTACTCACTCATCCATCACCCATTGACTCACCCACTTACTCTTTTTTTTGAAATCATTTTATTAGGGGCTCATACAAATCTTATCACAATCCAAACATACATCAATTGTGTAAAGCACATTTGTACATTCATTGCCCTCA